AGTAAAAAGGATTACAAAATTCATAGTAAAACGATGAATTTTTTTTTTACATTTTTAAATTAGTACGGAGTTTACAATGTCGTTTACCTAACCTTCGAACGACCTTGAACTGCCTAGCGCTCGAATAAAATTTTTGTTTCTTTTTCGCTCGCCCCTCGGGCGATTCTTTTGTATCTTCGAAAGCGACGAAGGTATTCGAGATATTCCTGATAAATGATACAATCTGTATTTCGCATTATACGTTGAATAATATCCCAAAGAAGTCCAGCCTCGGTTCCCTTTACCACGGTGGAAGCTGCTACAATAATGCACTTTCATGTTTCCACTCGCTGCAAAATTGCTCTTTATGGTCACCCGACGGAGGTAATTTCCAGGAGGAATTTTAAGATTAAACGACGCAACCTCCACCAACCCTCGTTCAATTTTTCCCTCGTCAGTTTACGCGGTATTCCCTTAACAACACTCCGTATCAAGAACTCCCCCTCCCCCTTCCCTCTTTTCTCTCGAAACCGATTGCATAAATCGAACCGTGGCATTATCGGTCGCAGCTGAACCTGCCGTGCGAGTTCTCGAACGGCGGCCGCAAAATAGAAACCAGCAATCGAAGTAGCAGTTTGCTTTATTTTTAACTCTTTGCTGGCAAAAACTTTCTCCATTCTAATTCTCGGCAGATCGAGGATATTTTTTATTACATATTGGGGATACAGAGATGTACATCGTCCCACCAAAAATGTTTTCTTTAACAATAATTAAGGGTTAACATCCCAATTTTTATAGTACTCTTCGGAGTATTTTCAAAGTACAACGCTCAATGTGCGACATTCGGCTTGAGAAACGAAAAAGAAAAGAAAAAAAAAAGAAACTACCGTCCGCAAAAGGGTTAAAACTTTCCGACAGACGCGAAACTCAATTTCCCTTTCTAGCGTTTCCAACGTGGCTTTAACGCGATAAATCCAGCGAGGTCTAGCCTCGCTCTGTCCCGATGGAACCCCCATAAAAATCTCTTTTCGCCGAACCCTTTAGCAAGAGCGGGCAGAAGCTTGAGCAAGGAAGCCCCGGCTACGCCCAACAGCTCGTCCCATGTATATTAAAACGCATCCCGGTGTGGCTATATTAAAATATTTCCGTTCGGTCGGCGAGACGCGTCCCATAATTCCTGCGGGTGACGTCGCGTAGTTGCGAAAGCGTTCACCAGAGTGGAAAGCCGGAAGTCGGTGGCGCGCGCGCGCGCGCGCGCGTGCTTGTTCGAGGTGGTGGTGCGGACACGTCGTTTCCAAGTCGAAGGCCGTTTAACGCGGAATTTCAAGCACGAATACGGTTCGACGTGGTTGCCGGTCGCGTGTCTTCCGTGCACGACCAGGCAACGGCTCCTTCCCAATGGTTTCGAGATTACGGCCGTTCATTCTTACGTGGTTATCTTTATAACCAACGTCGGGGAAACTTCCTCCAACGTCTTGCCTCTCGACTTTCCAGGCGATCTCCTTTATCGACCCTCTCGCCTCCCGCTCGCCTCTCGCCATCCACCGCCGCGTTTCTTTTTCCCCTCGTTTTCTTATTATTTCCTCGTTTTTTCTTGGCAGACTTCACCCTTTGCGCGGCTTTTTTTTTTCCTCCTTGCACGTGCCAAGGACCCGTCGGAGCGATTAATTGATTAGCGGCACGGTCGAAGGGGTGACTTTAGAGGGAGCTGGGGGCGTCGAGGGACTTTTTTTAAACCGTTAAGGGCCAACTTTGCCTTAACGCAACGTTTCATTTCTAGTTCCTCTCGATCCATTTACGCTTATCGAATTTTATTTTTTAATTGCCCTGGCCGAAGGATATTCCCGACAGGTCTCATTCATGTTGTATCTTCCATTCGGATTCTCCGAACTTGTGCAATTTCACGAGATCCGATTTAATTCAATGAAATCCATGCACTGGCCGTAATGTACATCGAATTAAATCGATGAAAAATCGCGCGCGAACGTTCCGCCTGCGCTCATATTAAACCGCGAAGCTTCCGCTTTCACAGTCCGCGGCGGCTCATCCCTCCTCCCCCGCCGACAACCCTTGAGATGCGTGTACATCAAAATTTGCAAATTCAAACGCGTTCTCTACGAATGTTGCGAAATTCTTTTCACGTGAAAATTCGCCATGAACTTAAAGATTGTACTGCCCCGCAAATTTCAACGTGCGACTTTTTGTTTTCTCGAGAGGAAGAAGCGTGATCACTTCCGCTGCATGACGTACGGGACGTGGTGGAAAAAAGATGAACTGTGGATTGCGAAAACGGAGGCATCGCGCTTCAGAATGAGGCCAAGCAGCGAGTGTTGTATTATTACTTTCTCAGACAGGAAATTACATCAGTTTTAACACACGGATAATCTTTCATTGAAAATCAAGCGATTCTTTAATTTCACCACACCGGCGATAAATCATTCGCTTCGCTTTTAACGAGTCAATCACGTTTATCGCTAAGTTAATTCGTAGAAAATGAGAATAAAATTGAGTGTTTATTTTTCCCCCTTCCTTCTTCTTTTCTCCTCGTTTCGAGATTAAATAAAGATCTAGGAGGTTTCGAAGTTTTCGAATGTTGCTGGAATAATTGAATATTCGCGGCCACGAATCGATTGAATAATTAATCGGGGCGCGAGGCAAGTCGATAAACAACTTTTTTAAACTTGCAGGGAAGTCCATTAAAAATTCATTAAAACATTCCTCGAAGGAGGCTGATTGGCCCGCGTGACTCCATTTACTACGTGTGCATTAAAATATTCACTCGGACGCTCCTCGCGGGAGACTTACCATCGCCATCGAGGTCCATCGACCTGGTTAATCGATTAGTTGGTCTACTTAACCCTTTGTCAGAGACTTAAAAGAACGACTCCATAAAAGAATGTACATCCCTCCGTGAACAAACCACCATGAAGATTCTCCCTTTCCTCGCGATTCTCCGAGGAGTTTCCGAATTGTATTTTCAATTGGAGTTACGTTGAATCCCGTTTCAATAATTTTGTTGTTGCTTTATATCATAGCCTGAGAAAACTGCGATAAAACAGTTTGCAGAATCGTTCGATTATGCATAGATCGTGGATATTTTATGCGAATTCTCAGTTTCCCTGAAACAGAACGGAAAATATGGAGAACATAGAATGTAACGATTTAACGCTCTGCTCTGAATATTTCACATGCTTTCGCTCATTACGCGCGCTTTTTGCAGCTTTAGATTTCCCATTAATGCGCAAGCATCCACAGTCTAATTATGGCCGTAAAAAAATGGGATTTCTACGCTGTTTCCATGCGAACGCGATCGTTTCATTGTCACGTTTGAGCGGTATAAAATCAGACACGTGGAACGGGTTCGAAATAAACGCGG